ATCATACTTCACAGTGCTTGATATGACCACTTGTGTCAGGGAGGACAAGATACTTACCTGGTTGCCCAGATACGACTGGAAGAATTGTGAGTGTCAGGACAGGAAATCAAATGTTGGTAAATAGTAGAAAAACTTTTTTTAACCCAAAGATATTCATTTAGTGTGAGTTTTTAAGGAAACTTTTTACATCTTTAACTGTTAATTTTGCCCAGAGAATATATTAATGAATTTATATACTAAAGCATGTGAGGGGCAGTTCATCACAAATCATTTCCTTTATTATTACATTAGTTTACCACTGTCACTATTTATACTCAATTCTTGACCTTTGTACATATTCAAAAATTCTACATTGGAAGAGGAAGATAATTATAAAACTAGTTAAGATCTGATGGATTTTACATTATTTTACCCACTCTTATTATTCTTGTTAGTGAAAGCAATTATTTTATACATATAGTTTTTTATCATTATTTTTTTAGAACCAAACCTGGACATCTTCCTTTCAAAATCAGATAAATGAGATAATTTGAACAAACAATTAATTAGTTAGTCTGACGTTTGCTTAATTAATGAGTCCACATGTTACAAAAACATTTAGATAAGAGTAAGAGATTTTCTCATTCAACAAGTGGATATAAACCTAGGTGGTTGTACCCGAGTGACCGTTTGAGTGGCGGTTGGTAACGGAAAATGAGTTGGAAAACTGTTCATGTTAAAGAATACTACAAATTAGACCACCTACTTCAAATAGGGCAAATCTATTTAAATATATCCATCTGATAATCCTTAAACGGCGAAGAACACGTAAGGGCTAAATAATTTCCAAAGTCAAATCAGCCGCCATAGATTAAGAGTAGACAAATGCCGCAATGGGAATTCCCTCATGTATTACTTGATAATAAAGTAGAAAATAATTGTCCCTACTGTTTTCCATTAAAATACATTTACCTACCCTTCATCCCTTCTCCTGAGTTATATTTGCTTCAAATTCATGAGAGAAAAGAACTAAATTGCAAAAACTACACGACGGTTGTACCTACTACACAGTTTACTATAAGCGGTTGTCCTCGAGATCTGATTGGCCACCTACAGCTCTCTAACCTGAACGAGACTGAGCGAGACCCAAGCCTTCCCAGGGATCTCAGAGAATTTCAAACTTTCAAACTTCAAACTTTTCTGATTGGTTGACTATCTCACATCCACGCTTCACTCTTCAAAACTGCGTAAGATAATAATCACAGGACATTAACTATTTGCATTTCCATTATAATTACCTGTTCATCAAATAACACTTTACTGAAAAATGAAAAGCTTGGTGCTAAATCATTGACTGCTACAATAATTAATTTGAAGTATTTTTTTCGATACAACAGACCTACTTAAAAGTGATTTTTTGTTGCAAGAAAGAGGAAATTGCATTAAAAGAAACTGCACGTTGGAGGTTTGACATATTTCATCAAATCACACTTAATCAAAACACACTTTTAAAATAGCATCAACTGAATAGTCTAACCATTTATTATAAATGCAGGCCAAGCCTTGGGAGTAGAACTAAAGATAAAATAGGCATGATCGATGCAGCTTTTTTAAAAAATAGGTGTCTACAGAAAACAATTTTCCAGTGACCTTTATTTCTAAGGTGATATTTAAGGGGAGCAAATTAGGCCTACAATTATCGAGGAATGTTTTTTAAAAGCAGCTATATATGGAAAAGGCTGCTTTTATAAAAAGAACGTAGCCTACGTCACCACGCCACGCAAGCGTTTTTTCGAGAGAGAGAACTTAACGAACAAAACCTTGAGCAAGAGTTTTCCAGAAAAATAATCTTATTTCACTCCTTATATTATCAATATCAGTTTTAGTGCTTAAAACTTTATTGATTTCGCTTCAGCTTAAACAGTGTAAAATAAAACAATATCCAACAATAGGATTAGGCCTACCATCCATGGATCTAAATACCTGTTACACCCTGATTGCACTTACTTGGAGAACTAATTTTTGCCCACTCTAACTCGTCAAAGTTGACAAAAAGTGATAGTAAACAGCAAATTTAGACATCGGTTTTTGTTAACTTTTAATGTTGCTTCGTTTTCTTTTGTGATATGTTTGTGAGAATTGACCGTTCTCCAAGCGGTCGCAAGCCCGGGTTAACAAAGGCTTTGATGTAGCACTGGATCAATCAACATTGTTGTATGTAAGCGCTTCTGTGCGCTTGTAATCGTTTTCTTTCCACTTATATTAGTGAAAACAGGTTCAACTTTCAAAGAATTTATCATGCAGCAAACTAACGCAACGTGAACACTCTTAGTAATCATTCATTATTTTGATGCCTGCCTTTGTAACGTTCATAAGACCCTATTACTCAACGGCCAGTCGTTGACCCGAAGTCAGTAGTAGTCAAATAGATCATTGTGGGGATTTTTGGGACAAATATGCCTGGGACAAGGAGATATGGATATATTTGTAAAAAAAACCTATCTTGCTCAAGAAAATCGACTACAGTTTTAATTAAAGGAAGCTTAATGTCTTTTTTCTGCTTGCTCTCCATACCCACACTGGGTATGTCCTACACTGGGGAACAACACGGATGTTTAACACTGATGTTAAAGGGATAATAACTCTTCATTTTGGCCAAAAAATGAATTTTCCTGGAGTAAACAACAATTTTTCTATACTTACCAATGGTTAATGAATCCATTTTTACATTCAAAGTGAGTCCCTGGCTTTTTTATAAAAAGTTTGTTTTTTTGTTATAATCTCTTAAGAGATTATAACAAAGTATAGCCATCAATGGAGGTCACATGGTCTAAAGACAAGCTCAGATATCAGAATAATAGCTATAACTGCTGTTTTTGTGATAAAACAATATATTATATTTCTATGAGTTGTTCACAATGTTTTTATTGTGAAATATAGATAATAATTAAGTTATTGTATTGGACAACACTGGTTCACTTGAGAACAATTTATTGCATTAAATGCAACACTAATACAATATGGAAACTGCTACTAGTGCTTAAAATTTTTGAAGCAGTATCTGTCATTGAAACCAAAGAAAATAATTGACTTGATAAAGGCTTCATTTTTGTTGCAATCAGGATAAAGCAGTAAAAAGATTCGAGTGAATGATATCAAGAATATAAGTAAACATATAGTTTACTTGCACTTTTGTCATATCTGTGCATGAATGCTTTAGAAACATATAAAGAACTTTAAGCTTCAGAAAAAAGGTTAATCATATAATATAAGGTATAATAACTGTAAAAGTTGATGACTACATGTAAACTGTAACTATAAAGATTTGATACATAACAGCATAAAGTAGAACTCGGTCGTACTTGTTCACAATACGTAAACAAACAAAACCTAGATTTTGCACGAGATTTTTCAAGGTGTGTATACAAAAAGAGTGAAAAGTAAACAATATATAATTGGACGAGTATTCACCTTACTTTCTATCATTCATTTCTCCCTTGGCATGCCCCATCTCCTCTTGACACAAGTTTGGAAACATTTTTAATGTTAACCAGCATCTTCTATCATGCCAACACAACTCCACTTATTTGATTTGGCCACAAATTAAATACAGAGAATTAATATTGTTACAGAAAGGTAATACTGTGAAATGACTAGCTACCGTTGCTTTCACTCTGCCCTGTGTGGCAGATGTCCCAGCAATGAAAAATATTTACTGGTCTTAAATCCTTGCTGTTATGCTACAAGCAGCCACAAAAGCGTGTCAACACTAAGTGACATATATAAATGTATATATGCATAAAGCAAAAATGAAGGGAATAAAAGGACAAAATCACTACTTCAGCACCACACTTGGTTGATTCTGAGCACTTTTCAGAAATTCAGGTTCTATATATAGCAAGTAATTTTTCATTTTGTACCAGCAAATAAAATTTTTAAATATTTCTGGTTTATGAGATTTACAAAAGATAGTAAGGTAAAGTCAATGAGAATTTTATATCCCATCTTAGTTAAGAATCTCCTTTCTAACACATACAAAAAACCTTAGGCAAACAGAATAACAAACAAAGTTAAATGCTTTGCTATTGCACAAAGATCAGTGAAACAGAAATGCAGTATCATTTACTTACAGACTAAAATATAGACAGTTAACAGCTGATGACTAGAGCGTACATCTTTTTTACCAAAACTTCCTAAAATATCATTCTGAACAATTCAGATTTATGGTGATATTAGGCTTCTCTCCATGTTAAATTAACTTATCAATAAGCACTATGAATATCTTTGTTTATAAAGTGTTGCAGTAAAAGATATCTGCTTGATGCAGTAAGCACTGAAACATCCAAAGACAGGATTTCTTATAGGCCTTATATAGGCAACAATCCAGAAGTTTCTACAAGATCCTTGTATACATATTCTATGAGTATATCTATATATAAGTATATACCTACACTATCACATAGTTAATATTTACATAAGTTACAACATACAATAAATGACTGTTGTTCCTTCATTTCTACTTTTACAATTTTGTATAAACACTACTGACTTGTCATTGCACAATTGGGTACAAATGACCAAAGAGCACCTTGATTGAGTGATATTAGTACCAAGGGGGGCCAGCACGGAGGACAGCGTAGATGATTTATTTAGTGGGGGGGAAAACTGCAGAGAACAGAGGTGTAAATCGTTGTGAAGATTTAGTAATTTTTTTGTGCAACAACTTTGGCAACTTTGTAATCCTTCTAATATCAAATTATCTTCACCATCATTTAAATAACACTATACTGATTGAATTGGTGAAAATCTTAATGCTGTTAAGAATGAAATGAATGAGGTGCTGAAATGAATGCTGCACCTTTGTTGTCATGGCAAAATCATGTAAGTTCCAGCTGAAATAGATATATTCAGATCCAGTCACAGTTGTGAGATAAATGACTCTTGGTTGATAAAAAGATCTTCTTCTACAATCTGATGCAATTCTGTACAGTCATTTCAACCATATTGTTGAGCACCATGGCATGACTAGATTGTACTCCACATTGTGTTGCTAGTGGCAATTGTGTTAGCTGTGACTGCTGCTGCGTTAGGTGTGATCTCACTGCACATTTTGGCGAGTTAGATGAGTATTCTTGTAACTGTGCTGTAGATCACAGACCTGTAGGTCCTCCGAGTCTCTCTGAACACTGTCACCCCTTGGTTTTATGTCATGATAGGCTAGTATGGAGCAAACCGCTGATACCCAGCTCTGTATAGCTGTCCCTGTAGAAGGTCAAATATAAAGTGATAAACCTGAGTAAGAGCCTTGCACAAAAACATTAGCTAGATGCACATGCACCATGTGAAGATGAAGCGATACAAGACACACTGCACGTCACACTCACTCAGTAAACCACTTGCGTACTATATATGCAGTCTAATTTATGCCACCATAGAATGATTCTCATTGTGACAGACACAGAACAACACTTAATTCATTCAACAAAGCACTAATTGACTTATAAAATACATAGAACTGGGCTTTTGAATTATCAGAAATCAGACTGTGCAGTTTCTTTAAGATAACAGAAATAGCTAAGGTAGTTATTAATACTAGAAAGAAGAAGGTAACCAAAAAAATTATCACAAAGAAGTTATAGATCAAATGATATTATGTAGTAACCAAAATTTGTAAACATCTTATAATGTATATAGCTAGCCAGTACAGTAGATGCACAGATACATGAAATATGGTCTTTGTATTAGAGGAACATTTGGTGCCAAATAAAAGATATTATTTTTTATTTTTTTAATTTTCAACATTAACTATAAAGTGTTATGAAACTTTTGCATCTGACAAAGTTAATTGGTTCTGCAAGCTGCTTCATAACAAAGTATAATTTGAAAGGCAAAGATTTTATCCAATTGTTTCATTTTATATGATTTTTATGAGATCTATATAGTTTAGAGAACACATTTAATATCTGCACATCATTAAAAAAAAACAAACATAAAATGAAAAATTAAGATACAGTTTTGTGAAAAAGAAATCTATGAAGATTATACTTTAATAAAGAACACAGAGCTCCATATTTCACAAATTTTAGTGAAAGCAACAGAAGACCCAAGCTACAGACAACCAAGTACATAGCCTTGTATGAAAACTTGAAAATTTTAGTTTGAAATCCAATTTATTTGACAGCACCTGTGAATTGTTCTTTGATAAAGGTCATCAAGGTCTAAGATATGAAAGACATCATTTAAAATTTGGTGTGTATGCCACATCTTAGCATGGGTCTTTGTAAGAGAGATTACTACACAAGGGCTGCCAACTTACCCCGTACCCTGTTACAGGTCCAATAGTGTGCCCGAGGTAAGGATCGGCTGCATACTCACGACCAGTGTATCTGATCACAAAGGAACAGAGGAACATCTAAGTAAAGCATGCAAATAGACCACCCTGCCCACGTTTGTTTAATCATTCATGCAATATATAACTGACCCACTGCTTTAGCTAAGAGTATCGTCACCTGTAGCACTGTACTGAAATGATGTCTAGAAACACTGTACACATGCCTTCAATTACAATTTCACAAGTGTAGCTCCAATATGTGTGTTAGTTATGCTACAAAAAACATAGAGATGCATTGACCTTAACATGCAAGAAATCATTCCCATCTACTGCTCTGCACTTTTGGTAAAAATAAAACTGATACTTGAACCCTACTTATTAAATATTTTAATAATCAAACTAAAAATCAGTCCTTTCAGATATTCCACTATATGTATAAGAAATACTGGTGATACATGAACTTGTGATACATCAATCAGCCTGAGCTTATTAGCCTCATGCCGTATTCAAGCCAAACTGAACCTTGAAGGAAAGAATATCTACATTTAATCATGGCTGCAAGTTAACTTTACGTATGATGGACATCAAACTCTTAGAACATGAAAATTAAGTTTAATGTAATCACAATATCATTCACCTGTAGATTTATCAGCTGTTTGATTTAAAATGCTCTACTAAATATTATTCAATGATGCTGTACAGTAATGCATTTTATAGCTAAAAAGCAGCTACAGTAAGATCCGCAATCAATGTTTGATTTTTCGTTTCTAACAAGTCTGGCTTGAATACTTCATGCATCTAATGCAAGCTGAGAAACACCTAAACATGCTGATGGAGAGAGAATGAAGCCTCAGTCAGCATCATTAAGGAGCAGCCTCGTCATAAAAAAATCTTCATTTATATTAACAAAATTTTAAATACCTGACCAGAGACTTCATATAGATTTAAAATCTATGACACAACCAATTTTAGTTACTGAGAATATTGGTTTGTTTGGTGTTAACCTTTATACCAACAGGAGTTACATTATAGGATATTTTCAGTACCAGTACTCACCCTGATAGCGTATATGTGACTCCGCCTGCTGCTGTACCCATTGTTGGCAGTGCGTATCTCGCTGCAGCTGTTCCTGCATACGCCGCAGTCGCATATGGCTGAAATAAACAATGTTACACATAAGCATGAAAAATTATAAATCATATGTGGATACTACATAATCCAGTTTGCTGTTACTTTTTTTTATTTATGTGAGTGAAATTTCATGTACAGTTGGTGGAAGAAAATTACACAAATGTTCATGTTTGACCACTTCTTATTATGTATTTACTTTCTGTTGTAATACACATAATGTTTATAAGGTTTGGTCCAGCTTCATCTTAATATACCTGACAAACACCACATTTTTAAGTACACAATTTTGCATAGTTGCCCTAAATATTGATAAAAGAGAGTATAAAAAATATACTTATATAAATTCTTAATACCACTTACCAAGGAGGTGACTGCATATCTCTCTGCAGCAGCTGCCTGTGAAGCATACTGTGCTGAGGCTGCCAGACCAAATGGATCTTGGTACACACTCCTGCTGGAAATATCACCAGAAGATGTCATAAATGAATTCTGAACAAACATGTACAAGATAAACACCTCACAATGAAAGTTATGTTATCCATGTCAGAAAATGTCCTTTAACTGATATTTTCAGGACATAATACCCTGCAAGGCTACTTATTTTTCCTAATTCAGCCCTCAAATAAATATAAACCCTCTCAAATAAATACCTATTGTTGATATTTTCTTTTGAAATGTCATGAAGACTTAGGCAGTCTAAATGTTTGGCCAAGAATTTAATGAAAATGGTATAAAACATCAAATTTAAGTGCAGGGAGAGGTTGAGCAGTGATTCTTAAGTAGGGCCATTTTTTTCAAGGAAGATAAGCTTCCAGACATGCAACGTTCAAGTCAACAGAATATGGAAATGTCAGGCAGATAAAGATTTATTTTCATTTAGTCTATTTTTGTTTATATATCTGCATATTTATCTAAGTAGAAAACAGCACAGTTGAGAGGAAATAAGCATATTGAGACCCATTATATTAATCGAAACTTGTGAAAATATATTACACACATAGAAAAAACAACAATGATAATATATATCCACAAAGTAGACACAGACATGAAATATGACAGGCGGTGACTAAAATATCCTCCCAATATATATCAACTGCTAAGGAATGATTAGCACTTGACTATGCCAAAGGTTCATCAAGTTTATACTTACGCAGCTGTAGGATATGGCAAGGCTGTGGCTTGTGCTGTCATCACTGGCTGGGGTGCACGGAAGGCAGCTGCAGCAGCAGCGGCTGCGGCTGCTGTGTAAGCACCTCTTGTGACTGTAGCAATGCGCCCCCTGGTGAGAGCAGCACCTCGCAATGCTGCAGCTGCAAGAAAACAAAGCATTGATTTACATCTTGCATACATCAAGATGAGCTGACCTCTCACAATGATAAATAGCAGTGCATCAGCTCAAGATAGAAACCATCCTGAAATTACAAGAAACCAATGGAAGAGATACCATAGAAATAATCAATATTTTTTGCATTAAGATAAGCAACGGACCAGTGGCTATTATATTCTGATTAAGTATGTTAGTTTTCTTCATTCTGATCATTTAACATGCAATGCTAAGGTTCTCATTATCTACATCTGATTATTCTGAAAGTGCCACTAGCCTCCAAATGATAATATCAATGGAATGATCAAATTGTATAATGTGAGATCATTCTTATTGACTTAACAAAAACTGGAGTATTGAAAAAAACACCAAAATATATCCAAGGCTTAATTCTTTTAGCTCACATTTGCCTGAAAAGAAACAAAGTATATGAGGATTTGTAGTAAAACGGTCACCCCCTGGTGAGAGCAGCACCTCGCAATGCTGCAGCTGCAAGAAAACAAAGCATTGATTTACATCTTGCATACATCAAGATGAGCTGACCTCTCACAATGATAAATAGCAGTGCATCAGCTCAAGATAGAAACCATCCTGAAATTACAAGAAACCAATGGAAGAGATACCATAGAAATAATCAATATTTTTTGCATTAAGATAAGCAACGGACCAGTGGCTATTATATTCTGATTAAGTATGTTAGTTTTCTTCATTCTGATCATTTAACATGCAATGCTAAGGTTCTCATTATCTACATCTGATTATTCTGAAAGTGCCACTAGCCTCCACATAAGGTTCCCTGCTGACCATTTAAGAAAGCTTCCACCTGACCCCTAGCACTTATTAACTCTAGGTACAAGTTAGACTGCAAACAAATACATGTTGCATGCTATAATACCCAGTTTTAAAAATCTCTCACAGCATTATCAGTTTATTGCTTTTAATGCGAAAGGTATCTATATAAACCTCAAAGCTAGAACTGCCCAAGCAGCTATTTTCCCAGAGCAATTCATACTAACGGAAATCTTGACCACATTACTGACACCAGGAATATATATATAATATGTATATACATATTTCATAAGCAACCTGCCACCATTAGATGAGCGTTAAACATAAATGATATTTGGTTACAAAGACATTCTCAAGATTTCTCAGAATATAACCGGGAAAATTTCTCCTTTTGCAGCGAAAGTATAAAAATTTTACTCACCATTGGGTATGACTGGATACATGTACTCACCATTAGGTATCACGGGGGCGGTGGGGCTTTTCTTTGTCATGATTCTTGCAGTTGCATTGTTTACCTAAATAGTAAACAACAGTTACTATGGGAACTGAGTAATATTGGAAGGCAAATGTGAACTTTGTTGTACCATTCATTTTGAGATTTAAGGATTGTTTATTATTGTTACATGTTCTTAGGCTTTTGATGAATGCATGGATACCACCCACCCTTTTATATTATTTTAAGCTGTAACTGAAAACTGTTGTAGAAATGGTAAAAACTTTTGAAAAAATTCTTATAATGAAATATTTTCCAAATTTATTGGTCTTATTTTTTTTTTTCTCAAAATGATACAGATTCAAGCGTTGGAGTTCATGATTTTTCCCCCTTTGGTATATGTTCTAATGATAATATCAATGGAATGATCAAATTGTATAATGTGAGATCATTCTTATTGACTTAACAAAAACTGGAGTATTGAAAAAAACACCAAAAATATATCCAAGGCTTAATTCTTTTAGCTCACATTTGCCTGAAAAGAAACAAAGTATATGAGGATTTGTAGTAAAAAATTCCTACACTATCTTAATATTTCAAAATACTACATATCCTCAGAATCTACCACTGTGAATCATCGATGTTTTTGGTGGGTTACTGGAATGATACCAAGTGTTGTCACTAAAGCAAATACACCACATTTAACAGGTTTACTCTGTGATCACTTTTTGTTGCCTGTATGTAAAAGACACCAAAATGGCATTAATATCTGAGTTTCAACTTGTATCTAGGGAAATTAGTGTGGTAAAATCTTCCAGGCTACTGCACTTAAAAAGAACTTACGCAGACCTATGTTCACAGTGGTAGAATCAATAGAACACATTTATTTCACAACTAAACCACCAGCAGGCAATATGGGATTTGTTTTGCATAGATCAACAAGAGTATATCACTGAGTTAGCCAATTACTATTCCCTGTGGAATTTTACCCCTTTTTTTCAATCTCCCTGGCACAGATGATATATTAGTATAAATATTGGATATTCATATTCTCCTTTGCCTGCTGCTGATGGTTGTAAAGAGTCATTTACATAAAATACCCAATGTTCCTTTCCTACTCATATTAATTCATCTCACAATAATCCTAAATACAAAGACCAAACTGAGGTTTTCATTTCTACCAGTTAATTCTTCATTAGTCTAACCATGTCGAACTGAGGTGTCTATTTTACTGCTGCTTCAAAGTAATTGAAAACATTTCACAATCTATATTCAATTTGGCTGTGGCTCCCAGGGCTGAAGGCTTAATTTTTTTTTCTTTCCAGAATGACTTCAATATCTGATTTGTGATGGATGGGTCTCTAAGTAGGTGAACATTTTTGTCGGTATGTTAGTAACTACTAACTGATGAGAATAAGAATTAAAAATAACTGCATTCTCTTCCCATTTATACACAAGTCCTTGTTTATGTGAAAATTTAAATTAGAATAGAATAAGAACATTTGCCTGCTGAATCTTCTTCTAAAATTAATCCTTTGTACATTCTGTACCAAGTCATTAAGATCCAACAGTATCACAGAGATGCCCAATGTGAAATGCAAAGGTTTACATCTGAGCAAAATTTTGGAAATTCATATTAATCTAACAGATCTACTTCATCAACCAAAATATCAAATCATAAGTTTTGAATTAGCACAACTATCAATTTGTACCCCCACTAGGAATTGGTAATATTTTCTTCATACAGATTTACAAAAAATTTTTTTCAGAATATTCATGATGGAATTTTAAAAAATGTCTTTGATAATCAACAGAATCTTCATAATGGGAGCAGAATTAACTGGTAAACCCTCAAAGCCTTTAATAGAAGTTATACATGAAATGAGTAGAATAAGAATAAAGGTATTCCTCAATATACAAAATACATTTTTAATTTCTACTTACATTTACTGCTACTTTATAAATTACACTTAAACAGTAAGAACTTACATATTATCTTTACTGACTGAAGATCTAAATTACTATATTGAACTGCAAATTTTTTCAAGATAATGTAGTATAAGAAATGCCTGTTGAATATTTCATTTACATTTCAATTGGAACTGCCTGTAATCTGCAGTCCTTGAATGGTTTACTGGAACTGTCAGTTGCAAAAAGAGACACAGCACTCTGGATTGTCCAAAGCTGCATGAAAATTTGGATGACTGATGGTGAAAATTAATAGTTTCCACAGCAACAAGGCCAAAAGGTTGCAGATACACCCCTCCTACCTACACTCTACAATAGCATTGCCCCAAGAATTTTTTAGTGAAAGCCCATATATTGCTAAATACACACAAATCATAATGCCAGATGTGGTGTCTCTTCATTTGACTTACTTCCAAATTGAAAACGTTTTACCTTTTAAGGTCCCCTTTACATTTTCATATCTAGCTACATAACAATAATAATACAGAAATTGTTCAGTGTCAAGAAATGCCGGCCACTGCATGTATTAATGATGGTATGTATGCAATATCACAGCACAGGCTTTGAGCATCTCAGCCAATATATGCACGGACATGTCACCAGAGGACGAATAGTGGCGTTACTCTTTCAACCAGCAGAGAGGGGAGTTGATTATGCTCGATAAGGGAGTTTCGTACAATAGTCAATCAAAATGCAAATCAGTATAATAATATACACCTAATAATCAGTGACATCCATAGACAATGCATGATGATTTGGGTTTAAAGTCACCATGAGCAAGATACAAAATGACTGGGTCAATCGGAGTGTGAAAATTAATTTCTACAATGCAGAAGATGACAGATATACATTCTGACAAGGGACAGGCATTTCTTAATACTGCATAATATAAATTATAACTTAGCATTTAGTGTGTGCTACCACAAATTGTAAATAACCATGCACCTCAATTTTTCTTCCCTCAACCACAGTGCCGTTCAATTTCTCTCGTGCTCTCTCTGCGTCAGCGCTATTTTGGAAAGTTACAAAACCGAATCCCTGCATGCATGAGGAAAATAATAGGAAGCATGCATTAAATTACGTGCAGTCAACATTTATAGTTCAGCATCATTGATTGTATGTTACATGCGTCATTGACATGATGATTGGAGACATAGGACGGGGGCATGCATGAGTCTTAAGAAGCTCATGCGCATGCTCGTAGGAAGCACACACAAGGACAGAAGAAATGACACAGGAAGACAAGACACAGGAAGACAGTACAAAGCACATAGATTGTAGCACAAGAATCTGGCGCCATATACGTGTGCTGTTAATGTGTGCTTCTGTACGAGTTAGAACACAGAACATGAATATGTATAATAAATATATATGATATATATATACACAGGAGTGACAGCTCCTTGCAAAGAATAGAGAAAATGAATGAAATATTTTTGTGTAAAATCATGTAAATATTCTTGTTGACTTGTTTTTAGGTTTGACAGCTGTAAAGACTGTATTCCACCGAGCATAATCAATATGTCTGCTGTGAAATTGTGCAGAGTCTGAAACCAAAACCTGCCGACAGACCAAGGAGACAGATTGAGAAATAGTGGGATAAGCAAGACCAAAGTTAGAAATCCAGAAATTTCAGGAAAAGAGGACAGGAAAGTTGCAAAGAGCCTACACTCAGAAAATGAAGAATGAATGATGAGCATGGAAAAGATGAAAGAATCAGATGAACACAGGTTGAAAAGTTTCCTGCAGTCGTAAGTTCCCAGATTTTTAGAACAAAAATATGGTACAGATATTCTTGTTTTTATTAACAGTCTTGTACCTGCATCCTTGATCAAATTTTACTATTAATATGGATAGGACAATTAGTTCTTCTAATGGCCAAATTTTGTGATTTAGATGATATTTTATGAATGAAATATGGTGATTGTTGTGTCAAACATATATCTTGATCTCCCAATGGTAGTACAGACCACAGTACAACAGACTGTTAACAAAACTCAAAGGTTCATCTTTTTGCCTGAAGCAAGCTTTTGAATTAGTCCCAGTATATCTGACTCCATGTGTATGTCAATTTACCTTCTGCAGGGAACTTCCAACTCTGGCTTCAAATACAACTTTGAACTTATAATCTTTACTTTAAAACAAATGACGCTTTAAATTACTCAAATCAAAGCAGAAATTACTTCAGCAAAATTCAATATTACTCAAAATAACAACAACATTACAATTACATTTAATTGTACTTAATGCAATGCTTCAAATATTTAAAAATTACTTTAAGTTCATCCTTAAAAGTTATTTGAAGTTTTATGAGAAAAGGTGGTGTACATACCTTTGAGCCCCTCTCATTAAATATAATTTCTACATCTAAAATTGGACCAAACTGCTGAAATGTAACCAAACAAATAGATACATTAATTGAGTAGATGAACACAATCTTAAATGTACAACCTGAAACAATTTTAAAGTGGTGTCTTTTTTTAATCCTCAACGGAAGCAACCTTAAATTGATATGACTTTTTTCTTTTATTTTTTTCACTCAAAGCAATTTCTTTTTGTACCTCTTTCCTGTCCTCAATGTAATTTAGTATCACAGTTTATCTAAAACTACATGTTGGCTTCTTAGCAATGCTCCTCTTTACTAACTTGAATTGACATCAAGAATGCAGCACTGCTCAAACCCATATAATGGTTTACCAAAAAAGGATCCCATGAAGTAGGAATCCACTAGAGCCAAGTAAAGCAAATGCTTCCTTCCCAAAGACACATACATCACTGACAAGTTTACCAGGCCCATCCTATCAATCTCTTTAAAATAACAAAGATGATGAAAATATCTGACCACTGAACAAAGTTAATAAGTCAAAATCCATGCATATATTTACAAAGCACATGTGCACTTTATATCAGCTATATGTCATGGACTGGGTCAGACATTTTTCTGGTACAAACCAAAAGATATCTCAGATGGCTGCACTTTAGAGAAGGAAGCGGCATATGGTAGCCATGTTTGCATGGACTGAGTAATTTGCTGGAAGCATTTGGCTGTTATCTCAACTAATTACATCAACTGACTGGCCTACTTTACTGATGCTTCCAGCTCTGAAAGCCTAAGGGTGCTGGCCTTCTGCTCAGCCAATTAAGAAGTTCATTAATTTGTACTTCTAATATTTCTTATATTGCAATATGACAATGCTAACAATGTCAAATGGAAAATGTTTTTACCCAACAATGCTCAAAGAGGACAGAGTTCTAAAATGTCTAAATACTGTGATAGGTATTTAAACGAAGTTATTATTTTTTAAATCCAACTTTCTCCTTCATTGAGAACCCAAGCACTTTCAAGCTCTACTATTAACACGAGTGAAAAGAGTTACCTACCCCTAATAATTGCCGTAAATCTGCCTCCCTGAATCTAAATGGTATATTTGACACATGTAACCTTTTAGGTCCTGAATTTGAAGATACTGTAGGTGCCGCACCTTGGATTTGGGGCCCAACTTCATTGTCTAGGTCTGTTTGCTGGAAATGCAGGTGAAAAAAAGCACGATAAGTAGTGAGTTCAAACATGTCTTGTAAAAATATAAATGTACAGATACATTTATCTTTATACAACAAATATGGCCACATCACAACAATGACTGAAATTTTTCATGTAAATTCATGTATTTTCAAAACAAAAAAAAATTGCAATAAATGAAAGCAATACTGATATTCTTGTTACATATGGGTTACCCTAGATATAACAGGATCCCTTATCAAAGTAAGCATTATTGGACTACAGCCTGTACTGCATTAAGTGTACTGTAAATTACATGCGCCCACATGTAGGTCTTGTTAATCCATATGGATGGTGCCAAGGAGGAAGAAGAGGTCACTGTAGGAATAAACTTGCAATGGACCTTGCCATAGGCAGCAAACATATGGCAAACCAATACCTCTTTATTCTACACAGATTCTGTTTATTTGAAAGGCTCATAAATATATTAGGTGCTACAACAATGCAACTAATTTCTACATGTTTCCTTCCCTCTTCATGTTATGTTTAAACTTCTGGAGCATCTTCCCTTTACGGATTTCCCCTGCTTTAAAATCCTCATTTATGAAGTCTCTCACATACATTTAACAGCACTCTAAATGCCACAACTACTATGTATAAGTGAGGCTAAATATAAAATGTTCCTATTAACTTGTTTTGGTGCCAGAAATCCTTCATCAGTCTGCTGGCTCAATGACAAAATAGCCAGAAGTCACAATACAACAGGACATACTTATGGAAGATATTATTGCTAGGGAACAATTAATGCTTATTCTCTTTACATGCAAATAATGTTACAGTTTCTGCCACAGGGTGCAAAAGCTTCTCTAAACATCAAAAGAGTTCTTTTTCAACATAAGAAAAACTTTTCTCAGCAAACATTGAATTTAATTTTACATCAATTTCCATGTTGTCTTTTCACAGTTTTTCATGTTTCAGGTAGCAAATCTATACCTCTTCAGGCTGATGCAGTCAGGCTTTGCACCTGGAAATGTCAATCTACAACAATTATAAATACTTTTCAATCTATTCATGGCCCCACCCCATGCTATCATCATACCTCTCTCTCCAGGTAAATGTTAACATTCCCTAGAAGTTATCATATCTGACATTGCTTACATAGGCCGCCTCTGACAGAAACAAACTACAGCCAATTTCCAAGAAAACTTCTTACTTATCACTTCTGACAAATTATTGGCAACTTTTTAGAAAAACAAACCACACAGCCCTTGTAATCCTAAAAACATGTGGATAGTAAGACTATTTCTCTGTTTTTAATATACGATTGGCACTAAGCACATTACCATCATCATCTTTTTCCCAAATAAGGCACCACTCCTCACAATCTTGATTCTGGATGTTGGAGCTGCCCTGTTCCGTTCTTTTTTATCTACGTCTTCTTAAAAATCTATTTTCCAGAGGTCTTGGAAGTATTTCTCCAACTCTCTCATCTATACATTATCCAAGCCTAATTTACCCAGTGCTAGTTCATGTGTTATGATAGTGGATGTTCGCTGGATGATATTTATCTAGGAAAATATCTGGCCATTCTGTTCAATTCCAGCTGTGACAGTGTACCATGTGGCCATTGACGATGTCACACCCTTCCTTCACCATAAAACTTTTGCAGTAATGGGACCCCTGCATTCAATCACAACAAGCTGCTGCCAAAATCAGCAAAATTTTAAGCCACCCTATTGTATTTGATTGGCCCGTGCCATTCATTAACTGTCAGCTTGGAATCCTTTAATTGGACATAGAAAAAACAAAAGGAAGCATCCTTGCAATTAAATAAATCTACTTCCTTTCCGAACTGGTCTGAACTACACCTGTCTGGTCTTGGAAAAAAAGACCCTCCAGCCCATTAGCTTATTTCAATGATTTGACATTTACTTTCCTGGCTTAACTATGGTTTTTAAGAAATTCCATTTTCCAGATGTTTTTCCAGATACCTCCTCCTGTTATAGATCACTTAGAATTTTGGTTAATGTTTTCAAGTCTCTAATCACTGGGTTCATCTGTTTTTTTTTCACTCCAGGTAAGATGGACCTTAAGTGACTCTTACAGATTGATTTTTAGGCAGCAAAATTCCAAAATTGAACTTATTTTACAGATACAAATCATCTTGAACTATATGGACTTCTTTCAAAGAAAACTTTTCAATTTCCACTTTTAAGACAACAGAAACTTACCAGAATCATTAGACACATATGTAGTGCAGCTCACCCTTGCACAACCTCTGCTGTTGTACTGTCTCTATACAATGACACTGATACCAGAGGAAAACAGACACCAAGGACCCTATAATTACAGGGCCCAGTCCAGATATGATCTCCCCTGCCCTTGCATGTCTGGCATGGTCAAACAATTGCTGCATAGATGCCCCTCAACCCCATTATCTAACACATAATGGGTTGAAAGAATGCCACATGCTATTAACTTCTAGCAATACAGCTGGGCACATTGACACACTCTTCATTTATATAGTAAATAATGGCATTTTTTTTCTTTAAGGTTGCTCTTTCATAACATAAATGTAAAATGTAAACCAGAATATAGGATTATACATTGCTACTCAAACATAAACCTCGTCTTTTTATGGCATATAGATGTAATCACATTTACAATACTGGTGATGAAAACTAGAGAAAATAATATCCGTTATGTCTAGAGAAGCTATTATTTTGTTTATGATTAAGAATTTCCCACAGGAAACATGGCGGACATAAATATTACTCCCATGCTGCGGCAGAAGATGATCTGTTAGCAGAGTAAAGGGCATGCTATACACACCAGCACGATCCACTTATGCTAATTATGGGCCATGTTGCATGAAAATGTCACTCAATCAGATACCACTATCACCATATAATAATCTCACTTTCATTGTCTGACTTCATTTTGCCATATGGACACTAAAATATAGAACCTCATTAAGACAAATGTACTAAGCACCATATCTCCTCATATCAGATATAAAAGAACCCTCCATTTAACCCATTTTAATTACAGCTGGAGAAACCGATCCATATTAAACTTTGTTGGGGAATTTCCAAACTGTCAAAGATATGTTCAATATACAAGTCTTCTGATATGAAACACTCTGATATGATTTAATTGCTCAGATAAACTCAATGTATAAGGTGAAGTGCTAACTGTTTCATGTTATTCCTGTTACATGCAGCATTAGCTCTCTCATTTTAATCTAAAATTGACTGGAGCAGGTGCTTGGTTCAATTCCACATACAGATCCAATTTATTAGTAGAAGAGCTGGCACACATCTGCAAAGTACAGTAGATTTGGGGCATGGAAGACACAGCAACATACATTTACATTTGAATAATTTATTAATCTGGTAAAACGGTTGGGTAACTGGTATAGTATCTTAGCTGTCAGCATGGAAGGCATATATATTATTCATATACACACGTGGATATGGAAAACAACAACATGTCAATACATAAATCAGCTTCCTTTTTTACATTCTATGGTTAGCAAAGAGTTTTTCTGTTTTTTTTTTTTTTTTCATATGAGACAATTATAATGAAATACATCATTTTTAAAACTGCTGTGGAATAACATCATAAAGTAGCACCATATGGTGTGATTTAGTTCTGTTAAAAATATTTGTTGGCACACCTTAGAGCCAAATATCAAAATATTGAAGCAATATAATAGGGATGTTTTATATGGTCTCCTGGTGGCAATCCAAGCACATGCTGGTGTGTGAAGGCAGCTGAAAGGCTTCAGTTTATATGCTGAAGACATGATTTTGGGTTTTAAGAATTAAGTAGGAGGAAATGGCTTGGTGGCCTAAATAGGATCTGGGGACCAGTTAAGTAGGAAAAGTCCCAAGAAAAAAAATCAGATTTCTGATTTAAATAATAAACAAAAACATTTCTGATGTCTTAAGGACGCAATAAGTACATTGTACTTGTCAGATTGCATTAAAATATTTATTGTGAAACTGATTCCCATCCACCATCAATATTGAGTGAATAAAATGTAACAAATTATGAAAATTTGATTTCTAGATTTAGTTCAATATTTCACAGAAATGTTTTTCTTCTGTGAACTAAGAAAATACACCATATACATATATATTGTTCATCATAATCTCCACATATATCTTCCCACAATTTATTCAACCAAGGTATCTCCATAATCACCCAAACACTATCTTTCACATATTTTAGACAGTTTTAAAAATACTTACTAAACTAACTGTTTGCTGCTCGACACCATTCTGTGCTAGTGGTGATGTAGAAAAGGGAACTGTCTGTGTCTGGTCTGCTGTTGATGTGACAACAGTCTGTGGTTGAGTAAATTCTTCAGGCACGGGCAGACTGGCCTGTGAGTATGCAGGGTACGTGGGGGTCATCTGATTCTGCACCATGTGCTGCAACAATGAAAATACATTTAAGATTAACACAATATATGATATTCAAAATATCATCCAAAATGCCCATCTTGTTAAACAGATTAAGATACATAACAAGATTTTAACAGTTTGAGTCACATACAAAGGACACCAAAAATATTAAAACCATTTGGATCACTAAGATAAAGAAAATGGATTACTGAAAGAAAACCGAATAAAAATGCACAGAACACACTATTTCTACACAACTGTATATCTGAAAGAATAAACTGACATTCCAGACCCCTTCAGGATAATGAGCATGAAGATAATACGCATGGTTGAACCAAGACTCATCAGTGATTTTTTTCTGGAACAACAGATTCTAACACCAAAACAAAGAAACAGTACATTCATACAGTATATTATATAAATGCTGTCTGCTTAGGATAATAAACAGATTACAAGATGCACATATTCTGCAGAGCTGTCTGAAAGCTGCATAATTTAACCTTTTGATCACAGCAGGGGTTTCACTAAAACAGCCTTGGATGTATAGGTTATCAGTTATACAACTGCCTGACTACAACAAGAAAACTGAGAACAGTTATTTGTATGCCATCCATCCTCAATCATCAACCCCTTGGGTCTGGATGACAAACTAACAAAGAGAAACATCCATCACAGTTGTAACTTTCATGTGAATCAACCATCTTTATACTTCAGGAACAGAGAGTAATCGAAACAGAATTGTCACTAAAAAGAAAGACTGGTAAAAAAAAAAACTCCATCTCCAACATTACTTGTACATGTGGTATATGAAATGTCTTTGTTCCTGTTCCACTCTCGTTCATCCTGTAGTTAACAAGCATGGGTCTTGGCAGCACTTCTAGAGTCATTGTTTTCAAGTGCTGAGAGTCCTCCTGTTCCAACTACACTGCATATAGTGCACACCAGAAGAATACAAATTATCAGCTAGCCAGCTCTCCCTGGAGGTGATATTATATTGAATACACTAATGGTGGAGTTGCCAATGACGTGATTGCCTGCAGTTTTCAATACTAATGAAATATCTCCTCTGGGCATGATATATTCATGCGGAACAAGCCAATGAGTCAGACACTAACAAAGAAAGGGAAAACTAACAAAAACCATCTTCAAATCTGCTTTAGCATATGGAATGACTTTAGGTCTGTTTTACCACACGGCCTCTCCATATTTACCATATTTGTAGTCTTGACTTTATAACCTCCACTTCCAAATCCTGCTGGGAGTACAATCCAGCTTTTCATGGGCACACAGTTTAGTAAACTGATTTAAAGTAATAGTCTTTGTTGCCAAACCAGAGCAGAAACGCTGTGACCTCAGTGTACAGCTACACTGCATGTAAATTATGAGCAAATTCCTGAAACTTGATATGGTCCTAGTTTAGGAGGTCATTAAGCCCTGTAGCTTCATTGGTTATTTTACCCAGAAAGGAAATAGAAGCTCTATATGCAGATGCATGCACTGCCAGACACTTTGAACTGCAACTACTTCTGGACTTGCTTCAATGGACACTTTTCCTCCAATACATAAACATGTGTGACCTCTTCTTCCTGCTAATAGCTAGAATCAGCAAAGGACACATTACTTTGCCAATCTAAATCAAATTGCCATGGTAACTTAAGGCTGATATAATTCATGAATATTCATTGCGTGTAAGTGTAACAATACAGTTACACTGCCATTTAGCATGCTAAAACCCATTGCCAAGCTAACACATAATGGGGAGTGGGCCATCAAAAGTTCATTTGTTGGTATCAAAATAAATAACAATACATCAAAATGCTGGTGAAATTCCAACATTGTGCGTCAGGCTGTCCAAAACCCATATGTCACAAAGTAAGATATAGTAAATTTAATATTCAGTCTGCCAATAAATAATACACAAATAATTAGTGTCTTATATATGTGACAAAAAGAAATAAAAAACAGCAGTTATTTTATCCCGACCAGTTTCATCGCATCTTCTTATATATATATATATATATATATATATATATATATATATATATATATATATATATATATATATATATATATATATATATATATGCTGAGCGATAAATATACTATGTACAATATGTACAACAGACTACGGAATATTCACCTATCTTGGTAGATTCATTAACTTTAAAATATAATACACATATTTCACATAAATTATGCTGGGTTCCACTAAAAAAGAAACCAAATATGAAAGGAATATGTTATGCAATTGTTGGAGACATACAGATGTAAAGGTAACCCTATCATGATAGTCGACCACCTCAGAACTCCATTTCAACAGACAATAATTGTTCTCAGTCATGCTAAGTTATTCATGAAAGGTTCTGTGTGCCTGATATACCATGCTCATTAACTTAAAAACACCCAGCCAAGGTACCTTTAACTGTAACGTGCATGTGCACGAGTGCTTTAATTAGGTCAAGTTTTAATTTCTCAAGATCATTCTGTTAGTTTGGATTTCCAATTTCGTTAAGATAGAAAGAAATTTCTTTTGACACCAACAACACTAAGGGTAAAAAAAAAAAAAACTTGAAAATATGTCTCAAGGCCAAATTAGCTATTCAACTGATCTTATAAAAAGGAACCATTTAACATAAGTCGCCAATAATGAACCATAACTAAATATATAGCTGGCCAAAATAATAGAAATCAAGTTTAAAATATCAAACAAATAATTTTATTGTTACAGATGCATAGACAATAAACTGGTAATTCCCCACCCTCCAACAATATGTTATTAGCCTACATTTTTTTTTACTAATCAGCTTAAACCTGTACATTGGTGTTTAAGAAACATTGTCAAAAAACAACAACAGAATTCACTTAACCTACTAAAAAAGACCTTACTAACTGAACAACAATAATCAATTCAACTACAAGAAAGACCTATGAAGTGACAGAAGAAATCTCTAATATGTACTTTTTTTTTTAGTTCTGAGGCTCAATGTGCTAGGTGTGATTAATTAAAATTGCAACTGGATGTGACCCCCTAGAGTAAGGGTTGAAGCAAGAAGTATTTCTAATTAATCCCTGGACACGAACACTGATTAAACCTGCTTTCTCACAAAGATACTTATAAGACCAACAGCACACAGGTGTAATTTGCAAAGGAGACTGCAGGTAAAATTGGCCAATGGAACATTCTAATTACCTGATGAGGGGAGGGAATAAGCAAGTCGGGTAATTCCTTGGAGGCACCTTAGTCCATCTATAAACCCCCTTAGGGAAGGAATGGAAAGCAAACTTGCAGGAAAGCATCAGAAACAAAAACACGATCAGACATTTGCTACTACTCTGGAACCCTCATCTTCCTTTACCTTCCAGTATGTCAAACAATGAAAGACTGTTAATGAACGTTTGCTCAATTAAAGCAATGCCAACTGATCTTTTGCAAGAACAGTGTTCTATATAAAAGGCAGACCAACAGTTTAAAAAACACTTGCAATACTGAGACATAGACATACTTATAGATACCCTTATAAAATTCAAGTTCATTCAATGTACAAAATCGCCATTTCTATCCTGTATTTATTTTATTAAATTCTCTATTAGTATCTTACCGGCAAGTGCTGTTCTTCATTTGCTGCTTTAGAGATAATCTTTGACTTTGCGTGATGTTCGATGAAGTGAGCATCACTACTGACAAATTAATCAAAAACAGCAAAAATTGCAATTTCATTTTGGTTGCACCAGGAAAAAGGTCTCTTTTCTTTAAGAGGATCAACATCTTGCAAAATTCTGAACTGTTCTCTGGCATTTAAGGTATTTGTCTAAAGTGGTGCTCTTAAGTTCTCACTTTTTTAATTGTTTAATCAAAGGCACTAGAGCCTGTTTTCAGTCTCAAGTGCCTGGTACAAGACAAGTCAAAACAGGATTAATCCACCAAATACAAGATTACTTGTATGAAAAAGATGCCATTAAGCACATGCTCCCTACTGTACTGTCTATCTGGAATTATCAAACGCTAATTATTATTTGTTTCCCCCAAGTTCCAAAAATGTTGCTACATTAAATGTGTCAAATTTTTCCAGATTTAAAATCAATGTTGAAACCGACATTTAGTGAAAAAGTCAGAAATTATGGGATCTAGTGGACTTCCCAGGACAATGATATTTTTGGCTCTCAAAGAGTTGGAAATTGCCACTAGTTGGAAAAATCTCATTCCTGTAAAATGCTTATGCTGTGTCAAAAATTGTTAAAGATCTTTTGCACATAACAACACTTTTCTGTTTACTGTGTAGGTGAACAGTTGTAAAGTACAGAGCAGCTTTAAAATAAATTAGACTACCCACAATTATTGGACAACTACAAATTGGCATCAAAAGGTGAACAGATTGGTAAAATACGGTTAAATTCAACAGAGCTAAAATGGGTACCAATGTCAGTGGGTCAACTTCTGATGTCCACAAACCCATGTCCTGAAGCTAATGAAAATAATGAAAATGAGCAATAAGCTTATGCCTTACTTATTTCATTAGAAAACTTTAACATCACATGTCAACTGAGTGAAGAACATGTAGTTCTGACTAATGACACCCAAGGAATCACTTGAGAGGCAAAAATTCACTCATACTTTTCTTTTTTTTTATAGAAATATTTATATGAGTGCATTTTTAAATCCTATTTCTACTATTGAATCATTTTTGCACAAACTCAATATGTGTGTGTGTGTGTGTGTGTGTGTGTGTGTGTGTGATGAATATAAGGACATCAGATGATACCTGCATGTCCAACATTTTTCATCATCTAAATGCCAAAAAGAAAAAAAAATTGTACCATTACATGCAAACTAACATGATTAAAGCAGACAATCAGAAGATATAATTATGATATCTTTATTACAACTTATAGATGCATGCCAAATGAAAGGGAAAGATAACTTGATCAATTTAATAACTGATACCTAGCCTCAATTTCTAATTTTTACGGAGTTAAAAAAAGCACCTTTGGGATCCAGAAAATGTCTTCCAAGGGCATTTACATATAAC